TAAGCGGTCAGCACTGTTTTGAACCAACGCTTCAGAGTAGATCGATGACATATATTATACATGGTTTTACTGCAGGAGTTTTTACAAATACAAAAAAGAATTGACCCATCTCAACATCAAAACAATCATTGCAATAACGACATGAACAAAAATGGGCGCGCATAGTAAATCATGAATCATGACTCATGGCGCAAAAATCACAGGAAACAAAAAATACAACTCACAATGTCAGTCATGACTTGAAGCAAGAAAAGTTTGGGGTTGATAACATCAATCATGACATGAACAAGACTAAAAGTGGCGTTTACAAGATCCAATTTTATATGTAAGAAAAAAGAATTTGGCTTTTGTACAGCGTCAAAATGTACGTTAGGAAAAAAATGGGCGTTTACAACGTCAAAATTTACGTTAGGAAAAAAAATGGGCGTTTACAACGTCAAAATTTACGTAAGACAAAAAAATCGGCGTTTACAACGTCAAAATTTACGTAAGACAAGAAAAATCGGCGTTTACAACCTCAAAATTTACGTAAGACGAAAAAAATCGGCGTTTACAACGTCAAAATTTACGTAAGACAAAAAAATCGGCGTTTACAACGTCAAAATTTACGTAAGACAAAAAAAATCGGCGTTTACAACGTCAAAATTTACGTAAGAAAAAAAAATGGCGTTTACAACGTCAAAATTTACGTAAGAAGAAAAAAATTAGGGTTTACAACGTCACCGACAACGTCAACCAGAACGGTACACGTCAGCCGAAACACAGAGGGGCAATTATAGAGGAAGGTGCCTGAACCAATGTATAATTGTTATATCATCCCATTCCCCCATTCCCTATGTTTAGCATCAGAGCGAGTCCTTAATTCTTCACCAACCTCAAATATCTGAGACATTCTGGTGGTTTTGGGGTTCCCCATCATTGACGGAAACACTCCAAGCAACTCTCGAAGTTGACATCAAAGACCATGTCCACCTGGAGATTCTTCGCAATACGAAGATGTGTGTCAAGTCATTGAACAACAGCTGGATTCACCATCCAAAAAAATGAATGTAACATCAGAAACCTGGATGTAACATTGACAATCTTGATTGTTACCCATCAATTGTTAAGGATTTCGCCATGAAAACACTAGCTTTGACATGATTTGACTAACAAATCAGAAATTGAAAATTGAAATTCGCAGTTTGCTCGGTCAATTATGAGGATTTGGGTATTTGGGGTATGGCGACCCTATTTTTTTCAACTGCGATTCTGGAGACGGTGGAGACCAAGGAAAAGCTGAGAATGCGTAGACATGGTTGTTGAAATTGGAGATACTGGTGTCTCCATGGAACTATATAGAGTTACCATCTGGTTATGACTAACATAGCCATGGAAAATCACCATTTTTAATAGGTAAACCATCTATAAATGGGCCATCTATACCATGGCGCACTGTTAAATAACCAGAGGGTATGTTTTCATGGAGATGGGGGTGGGGATGTTGAAATACCTCACAAAATTGAGATGAAACTCATATTCATAGCATTTCATAGCCATATTATGATGTGATCTAGATGCAGAAGATCATCTTCCAACCCCCATTGAGATGTTCCATGTGGCTGTGTCGGAAAATGGGATATTCAGACCCCAACTATGGCTATTTTAGTACGCTAAAGAACATGTATTGTATATGTATGTATATGTATATATATATATATGATCATATCATATCATATGATATTACATTACATTAGATTACATTACATTACATTATATGTTATTTTATTTTATATCATATCATATCATATTAAATTATATACTATATTAAATACTATATTATATACTATATTATTAATTACTATATTATATACTATGTTATATACTATATTATATACTATATTATATACTATATTGTATACTATATTGTGTACTATATTATATTTATATTATATACTATATTATATAGTATCAAAATATTATATTATATTATATATTATATTATATTATACTATACTATATTATATACTGTATTATATACTAGATAATATACTATATTATATACTATATTATATACTATATTATATACTATATTATATACTATATTATATAATTTATTATATACTATATTATAATATATAATATGAAATAATATCATATCATATTATAGTATATTATATTATATTATATATATATATACATATGTTCAATTCCTCAAACTCGGTTGACTGAAATTCTGAAATAACTGTATTATTATTTTTTTGTGGTGATCGTGTGTCTCAACCCTTCCCAGGCTGCATCTGAACAGCCAAGGTGACCACGAGCAAAGCAGCAGCTCACCTTAGTGTTTTCCTCAATCTGTTGTTGATGCGTCTGCATCCTGCTCCAAGGGCCCTAAGGAGGGCAATGCCAAAAGACTGGAAAAGATGGAAGTATGGATTCAACCACGGTTCCAGATTCCATCGTGTTCTCCCACCCCTCCTGCAGAGCGTTAGCCTACAACAAAAGCAGAAAGAAGAACCATCGTAGATTTTGACAAGAGCAGGACATTGGCCCAAACATCTTCACTGACTGAGGCTTGGAAGCGCAGTAAAAACATCTCACCACGTCGAAGGTACTCACGACATGAGGACTCTGAAGCCCATCTACCATGAACGGCGATGTCTGCTAAAGCCACCCCCTGGTGCAGCAAAGTGCTAGCGCCACCTCTCCGAAACGAATGGGAGGTTAAAGCCAAATGTTCCAATCGCAGCCCCTTGCAGAGCTTAGGCAACCAGTATCGCACTTTGGAGTATGAGAGGGGACACATCCTATCACCGTCACCAGTGAAAAGCTTTGTCCTATATAATTGCAGCCATTGCACTGTAGTAAGATGAGTCAGCACCACCTTCTGGTCAACTCCACGCTTAGTTCGGGCGAGCATAAGCACCACAACTTGGTCGACAAAAATCATGTCATGCCATCGCAGTTGCAATGCTTCAGAAACCCGCAACAGACCGGTAAAGCACACCAGAATGCATGCAGCCATACTGGCCTGGCCGAGTGCTAAACAACTAGCAACTAAAGCAAATGCCACCTCTGAAGGACAAGCCGGAGCTTGGTGTGAAGGCTCTTCACCCTTCCAAACTTCCAAGACTTTACGGGTAATGGTATAGACATGTCGTGGAAATATCTTGTGAAGTGCAGCGCATAGGATTTGGCAAGCTTGTCGCTTGCCGCCTCCCTCTTTGACCTCCAGCACGTATTCGGCTAAGAAAATATCACGCTCTTCCTCACTGAACTGAATCCAGTCTACTTGTCGTTCATCAACCTCAGCCTTGAAGTCGTGCAGAGCTTTGGTGTATAGCTGTCGGGATCTGCTCTGTAGGATGCTCAAAAGGAAATGCTGCAGCTTTGTAGGCATATTCCCAAGCTCCATGGTCACGGGTCTGAGGAGCACGCGCTGAGTATTGCCAAGCCATATCTGCTAACATATCACACGAATTTGGTCGATACTTAGCAAGAGGTGCTGTCATAAACTTGCCTTTGGAATCAACACCTATATGAGGTACATGCCAAACATGCGTGCAAAACTTCCCGTGCAGGCTACCAATAGAATCATCTTTAGGCAGCAACATCTGTGTTGGCTTGCGAGCAAAAGCTCCATAGAAGCACTGGTCAAAGAGAACATCCGTCATCCCCTGTTTTCTCAGTGCAGCCGCAGAGGATGTAAAAATTGAAGGGTATGGTGGCCGCCCTGGATCTCTGGGATGTTTCAAAGCTCTCCAATTTTTTTCGCAAAGCCTAGTAAGTAAATACATGCCAGCATGAGAACGCTACCCAGTTGACATGATTTAACTTCTTGGTCAGTTCTGTCTGGTAAACATTGCCATGGTTCAGCGCGGCTACGCAAAGGACGAGGTCCCCTGCCTTTCGCTAGAGGAACATGCCTTGCTCGCGACCAGGTACTACAAGGAGGGCTGCAGAGCATAGCCCTGATCCGACCCTGAATGCAAAGCTCACGAAGTTGCTTAACCAGAAGACCATTTGTTAAGTCCAAACAAGGGTCAAGAATAGGGTCAATCCTGAAAACGCAGCAACTAATGCCCTGGCGATTTGCTCGTCGAAGGATACAATCACAAAAATCACCTGATCGAAAAGCTCCAGAGCAAAGGTGGACGTAAATATCCGGCAGCTGTTGCTTGTAGGCAGTTTCAGACACCTTTGCCAACCCTCTTTGAACTAACCTAGCCAACCAAGGTTCCTCACGCTCCCAGCAACTATCAACCCAAAAAACATGATCGAGTCCAACCATTTGGGTAATTTGAGGCTGAATAGTGCGCACAGTGCCAGCCCTAATCCCATGACGTGAACTAGGTTCATCTGCTGGGTTTGCATCTGTTGGGACCCAGACAAAATAGGGATCAATGCCAGAACACAATACAATAGCACAGGCTTGACGACAGCAACCGTTGAGACGCCTAGAGGCACTTCTGCCTTTCTTGTACGCTCCAGCTGCTGCAGCTGAATCCACCAAGTGCACGACCCGCTGCCCGCACTCACTCGGACGTTTCAACCTGTCATGCAAAGACCAGTTCAAGGCAATGGCTTCTTCCAGAGTAATATGTTTGTAACCACCCCGTCGTGCAACTGTGCTCCATTGAAACTGTTCTATTCTACTGGTAGTTTAACTTGTTGCATAGGACGCAAACCAGATGATGCCAATCCGTGCTCAGTGTGCAAATTGGTGTGGAGCCCTTTGTGTGTGCATAGCCGCGATGCCTCAGCAACCATGGTGGTCGGCATGTTGATCCACGCCCTGCCATGGCCACCAGGAGCAGCATCACTAGCTTCAACACGCCCACACCAATCAGAGCGTAGATTGCTGTGAAGGAAAGGAACTAAGCACATAGAAACTACCATTTCAGCCCTAATTGATGGCCACAAATAAGCTCTCTTTACCCTACCACGATGTTGCGCCAACCAAGTGTAAATATCTTGCAGCACTGATCTTGCACACGCTCGAAAGGATGAAGCAAAACTCAACTTCCCCAGCCACTGTCTACTTCTCCAACAAGAGGACGCTGCTGCCGCAGGAGGTAAAGACCAGCCTCCAGCAACAAGGCCCGCTTGCTCATACTAACTCCAGCCCAGCCATCTTTGCCATCAATCATGACCCCTTGGACTTCCTCTTTTAAGACCCCACGGACAGCTTTCTTCTCATGCTCCAAAACCCCATCCCGACCCCAAGCTTGAGCTATATCTTCCAACCATTTTGAAGCTACACCTGGAGGATCTTCAGCAGAGGTGCACTCATCTAAAGCCCACACATCATCGAGAATAGAGCCCCAAATTGGAAAATGCTTGGGGGGTGGTTTGTCATCAATAAGCCGCCTATCTTGAGGGAGTCCCACTTCGACCGCCTTTGCCTCGTTGTAGGCTTGGGCCCATGAAGCCGCCGCAGTGAAGCCAATCGGCACTCCTCGATGCACAGGATATACTGAAGCTCCACTGTTACTATGTACGGCGTGCTGTGCTCCATGTGGGTTATGAGTCAAAGGTGGGTGCGCCATGTACTTGTTCCACCGGTGCCCAATTCTGAGGTAGTGCAAAAAATGACGTGCATCCTTTTTATACACTCGTAGGCAACGCTCCGGAGAAATGTGCATAGCACGAATAGAGGACATGATAGCAAATCTAGGCTTCCACATCTTCCCTGTGTCAACCAATGCATTGAGTGGACAAAGTGCTGAAATCGCCCTGTCTTCTTCAGCATTCTTAACAACAGCAAAGGCACCACTAAAAAGGGGTTTACCTTTAAACTTCTAGATCTTCTTGAGCGGTTTCAACACTTGTAATCCAGCTCGAGCATTGCGTTTCACATACGCTGGATAGGTTCCATCCAACCTGCAAAAAGGCCTCGGAATGGTTTTGGGTTTGGCCTTACCACGTAAGAGAAGTGCACTAGGATGCTCCACTTGTTCAGCCAGGCCAACATCCCATGGTTCCAAAGCCTTTGACAAATTCACCTGAGCAGCCAGTTCAGGAACGCCTGCCCTGAGCCCAAGTGGCAATGCATGGCTACCTCCCCCTGAATATGAATGGAAGTCTTCTTGGAGGTAATCCCTAATTGCTGCTTCCCCGCTGGCCAAAAAGTTGCCGCGAAGGAAGTATGAGACAGTTGAAAAAATGCACTTGTGCACCCGTCCCTGCGCCGCCGATGGTGTGGCCCGCGAAATCACTTGTGAGCCAGTGTACATGTAATTTATACAGACAATGACCAGATTAGCAAAAGGTAAAAATGAATTCCTAGTTTTGCCCCGCTGCCTAGCCCTACCTCGCCGTGGCATCTTGGAAGCCATCATCAAAGGTAGTGGAAACACAGCATCAGGACTAACACCAACAGGAGAAGGCAACGAAGGAAACGATCCCTGTCTCAACATTCTGGACAACGCTCCACCCGAAAGTTCCACATAGTCCAGCAAATTCTCCGTCAAAGCATGCAATGGCTCACCGGCTCCCACATGTCTCAAAAGATCAGGGTGCCTTAACAACCCACGACCCACTAAACCATGCCAGTGAGTCCGGCTGGAGCTATGCTTGCCCCTTCTTCCGGAATCAGCTCCTTCTTTGCCGCCTTCTCCCAAGTGCCTCCTTGGCTTTTTGCCTCCAACAAAGCTGTCACCCTCATTGCCAGCACGTCCATGGCCTTCTCCAACTCCTTCTGGTTGATGAAGTCCATTGCCTGAAGGATGGTCATGGCCTCCCTCCGATCCCGCACCTCCTTCAGTCCTGCAGCCCCCGTGGTGATGAACTCCGTCATCTCCACATCCCTCAATTGGGATGTCTTCACTATGCCACCTCTCATCAACTTCTGGCGGATGGCATTGATGAAGTTGGCCGTCAAGGCCCCTGGATGTTTGGCTGCAAGAATCAGGAGGTCTGAGCGCTTCTTGAATTTCCTGGTGTCCACCTTCCCCATTGAGACTGCATTCACCTCTCGGCTCTTCTCCTTGGATCTCCAGCGCACGATAGAGCTCGAGCTGGTACCTGAACTCCGGGATGAGCTGCTGGAGGAGGATGAGCTGTGGCGCTTGGACTTCTTGGACTTCCTTTTGCTGTTGCTTCGGCTGCGATTCTTTTTGGAGGATTTCTTCTTCTTTTTCTGTGAGCCCTGGCGCTCTTCGATCTCCGATCTCAGGCTGTTGATCACATCGGCCAGCTTCTGTAACTCCAAAGCATCGGGCTGTGTCTGTCTGTGGCAAGTCCGCATGGGTGTCCAGCTTGTGGCGGATGGCTTCCGGCAACGTCTGGGTCATATGACTCCAACGAGTGAATGTCGATCGCTTCTTCCGTCCAAACTGCGCCACCAAGGCATTGACTGCATCTTCGAACTTGCCACCTGGCACGCATTATATCTGGCAACAACAGAACCATGGAGCTTGTGAAAAGATTGATGCGGGATCAAAACCCTTATATATAGACTATTCTTCAACGCCTGGATGCCCAATCCAAAAAAACCCGATGGAAAATGTGAGCGTTGAGGGTTTCAAACCGCCTCAAAGGAAACGATTTTGACATCATTTGGGTTCTCTTTATGTTTCTTCAAACTTCCAAACCATGCGCCACAGGCAGCTAATGGCCCCAAACCAAAGACTTGTGAATAGATTGGTGGGGGAGATTCACACCTTTTTGGGTTGTTCTTCAAAGCCCGGATGCCCAATTAAAAATTCCCAGATGGAAACAATAATGGAAACCTAAATTTTGAGGTTTTATAAAGCTGGGAAAAGCAACCAATCGACATCTGATGTGCTCGCCTGGAACTTTAGCACGAGCTGCTTGGATGATCTCGAACTTGGATTGCAAGGATGTCTGCCGAAACTTGTGGGAAGAGCTCTCCAAGTCATGGGCCACACCCTGCTCCACCTTGATATCATCCGGTGAATTCTCGGGGTAGTACACCAAGTTCACCTGCAACCCATCCGTCTGCACAACCTGCTGCTCCCCCTCCAAAGAGCTAAGATCCGCAGCAGCAAGGAACTCCTTCCACGCAATCACCGAATGCTTGCCATTGGCAATGCGCCACAAGCCATCCATGCCATTCACCTGATCTCCTTCCGACAGGCACTGAGTCAAAGACTATGCATGGTAGTGCGCAAGACCAGGCTGGGATGACAGATATTGGGGAAAGCCTGCTAAAGGATCCCCCTTGCGTGTTGTAGTGTGCTAGCCTCTTTGTCTACAAAATGGTTCTGGGAGCGCTTCTCAAGCCTACAACCTTGCAAAATGGTGCTCCCTGTCAACTATCTTGGATCTTTTTTACCCACAACGATTTTGATATTTTCATCCAAAATGGGCAAGCATTTGCATTCATGCTCTTAAAAAAGATCCAGGGCCGTTTTGTAGAGCTTCCACCTTGTCCGGAACTCAGCTCCAAGTGCAATTTTTCCATATCCATTTTGTAGGGTTTTTACCCTGTCACTCCTTCTTTTTCAATCACCCAAAATTGATTTTAAAAAAATGCTTCTCAATTTTTGCACGTGGCCAAACCGTACATCTTTTGGCCAACAATATGCTGGCAGAAAACCAAATCTCAGCATATAGTAAAACACAAATACCCTTGCAGAATGGTGAATGTGTTGGAAAGATGGGTTCTCTATAAACTGGCTAGCTAGTTTATTCCTGTTCAACGGCTAATTCACAATATCTATACAGGCCAACCTGTGCCCTGAAAACCCTCTACAAAATGGCTTTCGGGTTCCTTACAGAATGGTTCGTTTTGGTACCCAAACACTATCATGTCTTCAACCTCAAAATGGCAAGACCTTCTCAAACTCACTTTTTACTATAAAATGGCATCCACGACCGTATTTTTTCCATAGAATGGTAGCTTATAGCAGGGTTTACCCGACCCATTCTGTGGAGGAAATGGCAACGGGGATGCAAAAGGTATGTTGAGGTTCCATAAAAGCAATCTTAGTGACCTTGCAATCACGCAACAAATTTCCCACCCATGGGCCCTGTCCTCTCTCATCCACCAGCAAGCTTGGATACGCCAAGGTGGTTTTGTTCCACTGTCCAGAAGTGATCTCCTCCGTCAGCTCCTTGACTCGACTGGCCGCCACGGGCCGCCACCCACTGTCATCACCAAGAGAAATCTCGGACACCTTCACACGACGACTTCCAAGCACCTTCATGGCAACCAGGGACTTGGCTGAATCGGTCTGATCTCAGAATCTTCGGATAAAAGGTTCATGAACTGAGATTTCAACTCGGCCCCGGGGCACAATTCAAATTGAATTTCCCTCAGAGATTCAAGTCTCGGGATGGTCTGGGGTTGGGAGGTCCAATTATGGCTAGTTCGGTCTGAACGGAGCAAAAGTTTAGCTCATTCCAAAGCAGTGCAATGATGAAGTCTGGCAACAACCGTGGCTTCTGATAATCTGCTTTGTTGTGGGCGACTGGCGAGGCCATGTCTAAATTTGGATCAAGGTTTCAAAAATTTATGGCAAAGCCGTACGTGGCAGCGCCAAGAGGAGAATGGCATATGCCAAGACAACTGGCATTTGCCAACACATCAACTCAGATCTCCGCGGTGTCCTTCTGCACCTTCTGCTCTGTCTCTTCATTCATGGCGTCACCCTTCTCCACGGTCGAATCCTCAGACTGCTCAGCGACCTTGCGCTTCTTCTGGCTCTGGCCCACCTCCTCTGCTGCAGCCAGGTCGGACTGGAGCTGCTTCAAGCAATCCTGCAACGGCTGAAGGTGCTGGATGAAGCTACAAGCCATTCGATCTATGGGGCTGCTATGTGATGTGGTTCTAGCTCTTCGCTTTAAGAGAATGATCAACCATGTCCCCTGGCAATTGAAGCTAAAAGACCCGACCACTTTATACACCAGCTGTCAAAGGAACCTAAACTTTCAATACCTGTCTAAGCACTAGCTTTGCCAAGAGCAGCATGCTACCGAAGCAGGATTAGACATTAACATCAGACATGATACCTTGAGCATCACCCGCCCAGTTCAAGGTATGCTCACTCCAGTCCTTGCACACCATGATCTGGGCCTGCAGGTCGTTGATGCGCTGGAGGTGGAGCGTCTCCTTCCTCTCTTGCAGCAAGTCCTTGTAGACATCACCAAGCAGCTGGACTTTGACCTCAACCATGGTACGCTGGAAATCCATGGGCTGCTCCGGCGCCACCCAGAACTCCTGAGCCGTGAGAGGTGAGGACTTCAGAAACGAATTCAGACAGCTCACCCCCATCACATTGCGGGCATGAGTTCTTCTGAGGCGTTTTTGAAAGCCACAACGCTGAGGGTTTCTGTTTGGTTTGTTTCTGACAAATTGGGCATCCAGGCTTTGAAGTAAATAGCCCAGGGTTTGAATCCACGAACAGGTACGTAGTTCTTCTGGCGCGCTTTGAAACCCTCAACCTTTACGGTTTCTGTTATTTTTTTTGGTTGGGGGCCATCTGCTGCTTGGAAGGTACAGTAGTGCTCAAAGAATGTGGTAAGGAATCCCTATGCCACACTTCTCAGATTGGTGACAAGTGGCGGTCAAGGGGGAGCACTGAAAGCGCACATGCTCCAGCGCCATGAACTCCTCGTCATTGAGCGCCAGCTTCTCCAGAGTGAACCTGGGCTCACGAAACCAACGGCACAAATGTGCATTTTTCCCACAAAATTGTGTGGGGTTCTTGTTTTTAGATTGGCACCCCCCCGCGTAGCCCGCCGCCTCCTCCGCGTCTCCTCCGCGTCCTCTTTGTCACATACAACTTTGTCACATACAAATTGTCACACACAACTTTGTCACACACAACTTTGTCACACACAACTTTGTCACACACAACTTTGTCACATACAACTTTGTCACATACAAATTGGTCACACATAACTTTGTCACACACAAATTTGTCACATACAACTTTGTCACACACAACTTTGTCACACACAACTTTGTCACATACAAATTGGTCACACACAACTTTGTCACACACAACTTTGTCACATACAACTTTGTCACGCACAACTTGGTCACACATAACTTTGTCACATACAACTTTGTCACACACAACTTGGTCACACACAACTTTGTCACATACAAATTGTCACACACAACTTTGTCACATACAAATTGTCACACACAACTTTGTCACACACAACTTTGTCACATACAACTTTGTCACATACAACTTTGTCACATACAACTTTGTCACACATAACTTTTTCACACACAAATTTGTCACATACAACTTTGTCACACACACAACTTTGTCACACACAACTTTGTCACATACAAATTGGTCACACCGTCGTTTTGCGTGGCAGGCGTGATTGAGCCCCCCCCGCAGCAGGAGAAGCAGCGGCCGGTGCAGGAGCTTGAACTGGAGGGACCAACTCGATGAGCTCGCTCCTGGACCCCGCAATGTGTCGTTGAGGTGGGCTGGAATCTGCTTTCACGATATCCATGATCACCCTCCCCTCCGCACACAAGGTCACAAGTTGAGCTGGGCTTGGAGTCCACTTCTGACCTAAATCTCCTGGGTCGCACAACCAGTTGATGCTGTTCATTAGGATGCCTGCTGGAGCACTCCGATGCTGATCTCTCCCATCTATTGCTCTGAAGTTGCCCAGCGTCATCCTTACTAGGCCACATATGAAACGTGAGCCGTCAGGACTAGTTGAGTACACCAACCACTCAGAGCCTTCGTGGTGTGTGATAAGTAACGCTTCGTCCCACTCTCCTTCACGGGCTATGAGCACAAAAGACCCCGCGTCCATGCCAGGTTCAAAGGTTAGTCTCAAATGGTCTGAAGAACGAGTGGACGTCAGTCTATCTGGGCTGTGCTTGCACAATGTTGAGCAGAGAATGCAAAAGCAAATGTGATGCAAACTTCTGTGTATCAAACTCAGAAAACGAATCAAACCTCTGCACAATAAATAAAATGCCCACAAAGCCAGATCACCAAAGTGGAGAATTGCGACGGTCCCGCTCAGCAGTAAGCACAATAAAGTGGTTAGGAATGGGAGTAGTGCAATGAATGAGTACGCAAGCTGTGATTGCAAAACCAAACGTGATGTTGCCAAGTCAATACGAGCGATCACCCAGTACACTACAGCCTCCACCAATCTCAGAACCACCCCAGTGCCCCAAGTCCTGCTTCCAAAGTAGGATGCACCAGCAAGCGTTGTCACGACCACTCGAGGGCTCAACATGCAAGAGCCAGCCCAAACTGCTAGTTAACAGCTTCAGCCAAAAAAGGCAACGTTCGGGATGCTATGCATACGTTGTTGTCACGACGCACAAAAAGCAGCGTGATTCAGCAATCATTCATTCTTTATTCTTTGCATCATCACTGGTTTAATATGGATCTCTCCAGAAAGAATGCTTGTTATAGCTGCGAAGGGCAACAGCTTGCCCCATCAATGTAACTGCGAGGTTGCAATCCACTAGGAACACAGAATATTGGCATATCCCCACTTTCTGCGGCTACATCACCATGTTCTTTGCAGTCATCACCATGTCAATCAGCTATCCATTTTATACCCGTCTATTTGGGGCTTAAGTTCTCCTGTCTACTACCGTTTTGTAGTTCGAGTCCCTCAAGGTTGGCGAAAAGCCATCTTGCAGCCATGACACATTGACGCGGTACTTGGCAAAGGTCAAGTGGGTCTCGGCCGCAGTCGAAAAGAGTCAGCTTTGGATGAACCCGGCAGCATTTACAAACGTGGGAATGGGACATTCCAGCAACGTATAACAACGTCTTTTTCGGAAAGTTAGAGGGGCCGGTCTGGTGTGCCATTTATCATCTGTTCTATAGGGGTTCTGAAGAGGCTTCACTCATCTAATCTTGCCAACCATGGTTGAAAAAAAGTGCAATCCAAATGGAAAAAAAACAACGGAAAAGGACCTCTATGGGACATGTTCACTTTTGATGGGAAGATAATTACAGTCGTGGAAAATCATCAGTCTGGATCAGGTTAGGTCAGGTTAGATTTCTGGAGGCCTTCACAAAATAAAGTCACAAAATCGTGATGTTTATATAGAGCATCCTACATTCCAAGATCATGTGGACAGAAATTGCCCTTAACATCCCTTATATAACTATCTTTCTATACCAATCATCCCAAATTTGGTATGAAAATAACTGGTTGGTGGTTGACCTACCCCTCTGAAAAATATGAAAGTCAGTTGGGATGATTATTCCCACTATATGGAAAAATAAAAAATGTTCCAAACCACCAACCAGGTATGAAAATAAGGTACAACTCCCAAATTGTATCAAAATCATCGAGAGATCACGTCCAAGGCACCTCATAGAGCCACTGCGAAAAGAACCTCGCCATTGCCAACGAATGAGGCGTTGAGTTTGTCTGGGGATACAAAATGGATCAAAATGGTCATTTGAAGCCGGAATGCTAGGATTAGATATATTAGATGGGATTAAGATGGATGAAGTATGATTAAGTGTATATTTATACCATTTTATACCACATTTTCAGACAAACCCAAGCTTTGGGGCCCAGTGGTTTTGTTGATGATATAAGATTTCTGCCCTGTATGTGGAAGATGTTCACATGATGTGGTGCTGTGAACCGATCGAACATCACGACTTCACGGTGTGCAAATGCGTGCAATGCGTGTCATTGACATGGCCCTCCGAGACCAGCATTGGTTGTTTCCAGTAAACACTGGTAATTCACAGCCTCTCGATTTTTTTCGACGCTTCAACTTCACAAAAAAAAAAATGTCTTTTTCGGATCAACATCTTATCTTTCATTGAAGAACACCTTTTTTTTGCTGGTCCGGAAATTTACTATCCCCACATTTTTCCGGGAACATCTCCGGGCCGGGGCACGTATGGTACAGTCCATTGCTTGCAGCTCAGTGACTGGTCTGGGCCTCTCTTGATCGGCATCTGAAGCCTGGCAGAATTCGGAAACTCCCCAGAAAGGGGGGGGCACCATTTTGGGTCAAATTCCACTCAGGCTGTATACGATCTAATTACAGTATAATGGGGGGTAAAACAACAATAAACAATCCCACAAATCACCATTTTTATAGGTATAAATAAACCATTCCCAGTCATGGGTGGTTTATGACATCGTTTTACCCACATTACTGTATATCAATATCCAAAACGCAAGAATGTCACCATGTTTGGGTTGCCCTACATTCTCCTATGCAGAAAACGATCTTGTTACTGGATATTATTGGAGGGCAATCCTCAATCGAGAAAAACACATGGCTTGACGACCTCTGTGCATATTCCCGGAACGGATACCCACCATCCAAATCCCCAAAATAGTCACAGTCGATCTTAGATACTTAGCAAAAGTGTTCTTTTGCTGGCCTCTCTAACCCCATTAGCAAAGATTATACTAAACCCATCCAGTTGTTTTCCCAAAAAAATCAACCGCCAAAAACTGCACAGGCCCGCTGGGTTCTGGGGCTGCTCTTGCAGTTGCCGAAGCACACAGCTGCGGCGATCCTGCGCTCTGTGATCCCATATTGGTCGACAGGGTTTATCATCTCAAAAATGATTGAACATGAAGAACATATTTGAAACTACCAACCAGTCTTCATGAATGGGTATTATGTGAGATAGGTAGTATTTCTAATAGTATAAATATACTGGTGGGTCAGCTTCACTGAAAATCCTCATGAATCTTCTACCGGAGGCCCAAACGGCCACAAAAATAGGGTCAAAATTGATGGGAAACCAAGGATTCTCCCGCTTCTTGGGACCATGTAGGAAGAGCTGGTTTTTTTTGTGCGGAAATGGTGGTAAACAATTGTAAATATATCTCCCATGGGAAAAATGAGGAAGAGCTGGTTGATATGAAAATTACCTATCTGTCAGAATTATCCTGAATGACCAAACTCTGCGTGTTTTTAAATAACAACTTCGAGCCACAACACTCCCCATGTCAGGCCTGCAAATCTAACACGTCATCACACCATCCTCTGCGGAAGTTTGGACCAGCTTGGTCATGATGGGCCAATGACTGCTGGATTTTTCTCTCTATTCTTTATGATTGCATGATTGTTCAATCACAGTAATGTGGGTAAAACAATGCCATGTTTACACCTTTACCATCCCCCAGTTATCACCATGTTCATAGGATTTATAGGATTATAGGGGGTAAAAATCACCATTCCCAGGAAAATGGGTGGAAACCACCGAAAAAGACCGCTCTGATCACCCCTTCCCGAAAACGGGCACCTAAAACTGGGTTGGCACCTGTGGAGTACCTCGAGCACATCTGGAGATCTGTTCTGTCTCTGCGAAACGCACAGAAACGGACAGTTCGCTATGAAACATTCCAAAAAGTGTCATAATGTCATAGGTAAATCAGCTATACATATCTGTGGGGATGTTCAATAGCTATGTTCGTGTACATCTGGATCAAACCTTTTCCCACAGCGCGCAAAAGAAGCTTGGCACGTCCGGGAGCCGTGTGGCCCAGCTGCAGGTCTTTCCACAGATTTGCTGTGAATGGTCCCTCAACTCATCAAGAAGGGAAAAGCCTTGGCAGGTTTAAATCATAAAAACTACAGCTTAGGAGGTTTCCGTTTGGGGGATCTCCAAATCATCCAGTAGATTCTATAGATCATTAGACTTTTTTATACATTAAATATATTTAAATATGTTGTAATAATGTAAATGTGACAACACCTTGGGCTCGCAACCCGTTCTCCTTCCTCCAGTTGAGTTTCTATGTTTCCATCAACGAAGATCTGCCGCTGGAAGGCGAAAAATGCTGTTCGGGCTAGTCCAATTGTTGCAGCGCCAGTTGACCGATGTTGTTCCCCAAAAATTAAAAAATGGGATGGTTTCTACTTGGTTGGCTCCTCTCATTTAGTGGATTATCAGATTATCACCCCAGTTGTAACTGGACAAACCCTACTTACCCCATATCTATAAACTGGACTTCCATCCGACTTGAGCCACCTAGCATTTTCAGATGACCGAGATCTATGTTTTCCCTAGGGATGCCCCGTCCTTTCATCTGGCGCTGCCACCCGCATTTTTTTTCTTTTTCAGGATCCCAATTTCTGGGAACATCGAAAACTGACCGACCCGCCCATAGCGTTGATGTCGGTGAACTGATTGACCTAGAGTTCTAGACATGATTTGAATTTGAGGATGCAAAGGTAACAGCAATAAAGAACTACTGTAACCATGAAACAAACATGGAATGAACCCAACTCTGAGTGCGGGGGCACCTGGAAGTTTTAGCTGCACTTCAACATCTTCAACAAATATGAACCACAACCTTTTGGATTGTTTGACTAGCAAGAACCAGACAATGAAACTATAGACTATAGACTATAGATCTACAAATTTCTACAAATTACTTAGTGCATTGACTGCTTAAAGAATATGTTTCACATATCAAAATAGCAAACATCAATTTCAATCCAGTCATTCTACGGAAAATAGAAATGCTTCTCTCCTGGACGAGGAAAATGTGGTGAAACCAGAAGCGTTTCACAGTCGAAAAGCTGTTGCATCTGGGTTTGGACGCTGCTGAGCTCCAAACAAACTCCAAAGATACGGATCAAAATGTCGAAAATTTCGTCATCATTGCAGAGTAAAGAATTAATCTTAGTGACTCAACGTGACTCAAAACCATCGTAGCTGCTAAAAAGAGTTCTACTGATTGTCACTGGCCAATATGTTCTTAAAAAGAAAGCCCTCAATCAACGCTGAAAAATCTCAAAGCTTGGATCATTGAGACCTCGCCAAGTGTCAAACCCGACGCAAACAAACCTA